TACTTACCCAATTGGGCCTACTAATACTGCTCTCAGATGCAATTAGTTCTTATTAACTTCATTTGGGAGCCCTAAGAATGCATCCGAGAGAAAACTAGACCTTAAGTATGACTACACATACCATTCTACATAATGAAGCATATTTACTTAAAGACCATACAATTCAGATATCCTTAGTATAGCCTATTCAAAAAGCCTTAACTCCACCATGTTTGCCAGTTTCAATCAAATTATTATGCTATTTTAGACTTATTTTTGTATGTATTTATAACACATATAGTAGGGCAAAATTTCGCCATTGTAATTGTGGAATTTTGGACAGAATGAAAAATACATATAGGAGCTTTCATTTTATAGAAATGTCTTGACTGTTTACAACAGTGCTTTCCAAATACCAAGAGCAATTTGTCAATTTCAAGTCTGCATAACAGAAGTTTTCAAAATAATGTTAATCAAAGAATATTCATCAAAAAAGGAGCACCTCAAATTCTAAGCATTTTATATTTTTTCACAATTTATAAATTGGAAATGAATCTGTATCCATGAAAAACCAACTCATTATGTGTTCAAGCTGGTAACTGTCACATAAGAATGACAAGACCATAATCTGCTATGTTGCTTCAGTCACATGCTATTTGAAACTGCCAAGTTAGAAATCTTAGACAAAATTTATAGCATAAATATGAAAGATCAACAACATCCAAAGCAAGCAATGCATCTGTAATAAGGAATCAACATTTGTGTGTAGGTTAGGATTTTTCTCTTTTGTGTCTTTACAGAAATAATGATGTTCATATCCCCACTGCAGAAAAATTCCACAAAATGCATCTCATTACAGTAATATACATTCCACATTTTAATCACACACACAATTTCCAGCCCTACATAGGACTCAATCTTGCAAAGCACTATGTTCACCTCCAACTGAAGTCAGTAAGAACTAAGCCCTGGTCTATACTAGATAATTATTTTGAAATAAGCCCCCATATTCTGAAATAACAAGCAGAGTGTCCACACTACCACTCTACATTATTTTGAAATAACAGGCTGATTATTTTGAAATCTGTACTCCTGCTTTCCTTGGGGAATAAGCTTATTTCAAATACTTATTTCAGGAGTTATTTCAAATTTAGTTACAGTATTTCAAAATAATTTTCTAGTGTAGCCATGCCCTAAGGGCTCATGGCCCCCACAGGATGGTTTGGCATCAGGCAGAATTTTACCCCTACAGCCTGATCCAAAGCCCATTGCAGTCAATGGGTACGTTTCCTTTATTTCAAACAGATTTGGATCAGGCGTCTGATGAATAAGTTAAAATTCTGATTACAAGAGATGAAATTGGTCCAGTACAGCTCGGTACGGTTTACTGGTAAAAAGTGGCCACTGGTACGGGCCCATACACAGCTTTAAATTGCCATGAAAGTCCTGAAAAGCTGGCTGAAGAAAGCTGACCCCCATCCCTGCCCCCTCTACCTGGGGCCCTGCCTCTTTCAAGGACCCAGCTCCAGCGTGCCAGTAAGATTTTTAAATTAGTTTCACTTCACTTATTACACATTTAACACATACTATAAATTGAAACAATTTTAAACCTTACTATTCTTCATATGCTGTCACAAATAATATTGCAATGAGACTGAAAGCACACTATAAAGTGAACACTATACATTGATATTTGATCAAACACATGCTGTCTTGTACTAGTTGACTATCACACACAGGATCCCAAAGTGCCTATAACAAGTTGGATTTTTTTTTCATAAAATGCAATGATTATAGCATTATTTTTATTCCATACCAGTATGTTTTGGGTTTATTTTTCCCAAAGGCCCTTCACATTTGTGCTTGTAAACTGTATTATCTTTACTGAGTTGCACTCAAATTCTGGGTAATCTAACACACAATTTCCTAATCTGCATTAAAATGTGTAGGCTTTTTGCACATGTCCCAGTATGCATAGAATTGTGAAAAAGCAGACTTACAGGCCACTTCTGAAAATGTTGTTCTTTATTACCGATGTCATTTTTCTACTTTTTAAAGTAATTCACAAAACAGTTTGGCTACATCTACACTGCACAGCTATTTCAAAATAAATTATTCTGGAAATATCTACACTGCAGAGAAGCCTCAAAATTGGTCCAAGGCAGGCTTCCCTAATGTGGATGTGCTATCTCAATTTAGAACCCCAGGAGGCACTGTGGAGGAATAATTTAGAATGGCCCTCATGAGGGACTATTTCAAAATAGCAACAGTGGATCATCTACACGCACCTTATTTCAAAGAAGCTATTAGCATTAAGATATTAGGATGTCCAATGTTTTGCATTCATTTCAAATTCAATAAACTGAATGAAAAAAGAAATGTACTTTTAAAAAGCATAAGGAGTTTTTAAAAAGTATATATCTTTAAATCTATATTCTCATTTTTCAAATATTTGCTTTAATTAATTGTTTTAAAAATTAAAGAAATCTCCATATTTAACTATCGCTCAGGATTTGGTGATGTGGTGAATCTATACTCCACTAGGAATAAACCAATCCTCATGCCTGAGGAGTAGGTCATCTCACAAACAAAGCCTTCCTATAGGTCATGTATTATTTAAAATGGACCAAGCTGAGGGAGCCATGTGGCAAGCTGAAGAGGAGTACAACCCAGGCATGTAATTCATTATGGCCTTGATCCTAAAAGCAGATCCACACAGCCAGTGCAAAGTTCTATTGTAGCGAATGAGCTCCATACAGATGCACGTTTCTGGCCCTAGCAGAGCTGGGCCCCTATAAACCCAATCCTCAGCCCCTTACTCAGACAATATTCCCATTGTCTTGAGATTTATAGGATGGCCTGCTCCAAATCAGAGTAAAAAGAAGTGAGGAATGAGTTTTATACCTCCATAGCTAAGACTCAGGCCTTCCTATATGGAACTATCCCATAAAATATAGAAGAAATTATAAAAAGTAGATTTTATAGAAACTGCTGTAAAAATTTGAATTTATAGGTGAGTTTTCCATCCATTCTATCACTATTCTAAAGCAGAGATAGACTATTTTATTAAGTTCTACAGGTTGAATTTAAAAGATATTGTAGTATGTTAATTTCTATAGGATTCTTCCATAATATTTCTCTCCTGCCAAAATACTAGACCCTCAATTCAAGAAAATCCTTAAACATGTGCTTATCTTCAAACATGTAAGTACTCCCATTGCTACCTTCCTGAATTGGAATGCTAAAAAGCAAAAAAGAATACTCAAAATTCTCACTAATCTCTATCATTTCATTTTCAATTCATTAATAAATATATACTAATTGTAGCATTTGGGAAACTATAGGGGCCTTCGGCCAAGTGATAGCTTTCTAGAAGATGTCAGGTTCATCCTGAGGCTGCCTGTTTATCTGTTTATAAGGCTCATGAAGAAGTAGGGGTTTTGGGGGGGAGAGGAGGCAATCCAATATCTCCAGAGAAAAAGGAACTTTCAGTAAGTTTTAAAATTTTTTAACTAGGAGCCTGAATGTCTCAGGATACTGGCAGAGGTTTGGAAGCTTTCAACTCTAAGTAGGTGGTTCACATCCAGTCAGCATCAGACATAACTGGAAGTGGTTATTACCTAATATCTGACTTCAGTGTCATTCCACTAAGGGACTATCTATATAATTTGCATAACAGGATCAGAACCTAGAATTTTTAATCTCTCAGAGACGTGGTCTACACTACAGAGTTATTTTGTAGTTATTTTATAATAGCCCTTATTTCCAAATAATAAGCGGAGCGTCCACACTGCCAAGTCCATCATTTCAAAATAAAGTGCTGCTTATTTCAAAATCTATATTCCTGCTTTCCTCAGGGAATAATGCTTATTTTTAAATAGTTATTTCAAAATAGCATTACTGTGGACCATACACTGCTGCTATTTTGAAATAACTACTTCCCCAGAGTAATTCAATGTAATTACTCCTCAGTATTTCCTGAAGCTAACAGAGCTTGCCTTGGACTAATTTCGAGGCTCCCCTGTAGTGGGTATTTCAATTTTGTTATTTCAGGAGTTATTATTCGAATTTAGTTATCATATATATAGTAGCCTAATGTCTGTGACTCTGTAACACTGTAGCATTATGAGTTTCCTCTAGGAGGCACTGTTGCCTCCCGCCATGGCGGCACGCAGCCATTTGGGCCCCACACTCCCCATGCAGCACCCCCGTGCTACATGGGGAGCACAGGGCCCAAACAGCTGCTTTCACTGCTTGCTCCCCCACAGCGCCTGGCTGAGCGGCGCAGAAGTTAGCAGAGTGCCATGGCGGGAGGGGGAGGAGGCGGGGCCGGGAGGTAGAGGCAAGAGGGGAAGAAGAGAAACAGAGACACAGAGAGAGAGGCAGAATGTGGAGGAGAGTTGAGAGGGGAGGGGGAGGCAGTAGGAGGAAGAGAGAAAGAGAGAGAGAGTGAGGGAGTGAGAGACTCAAGTGAGGGAGTGAGGGCTCAAGACAGAAGACCAACGTGGAGGAGAGACCTGAAAATCCTGTTTTATGATGGGCTAATTAGCTAGTTTCAAAATAATTTCCTAGTGTAGACATGCCCAGACATGACATTTACAAACTTAAGTGATATAGTTTCATTATCCCTTACCTATTTTTTAAAGTCTAACTGCCAATGGATGTTTGGATGGCTACATTATACCTGCTTCGTTTTATAATGCAACAATATTTAGCTCTTACTGGCTTTATCATTACATGTAGTCAGGGGCGGATATACGGCAGAGCGAGAGGGGTGGCCGCCCCGGGCCCCGCGCTTCAAAAAGCCCCGGGCATGAGCCGTGGTGCCACGGCGCATGCACGTTGCGTCACCGCGCATGCGCCATGGCAAAGGGGGGCCCCGCAAGATTATGCTGCCCTGGGCCCCGCAAAACGGTCATCTGCCCCTGCATGTAGTTATTCTTTTCAAAAGTGGCTGGTATAATCTGATACGTACTTCAATAGTCTTTGTAAATGTGAATTCAGTAAGTATATTGACCCACCATTCATTCCATTGTATACACTTCTGTGATGAGGTGACATATCATCTGCTACTTGTCTCCTCAGGGTACCTTCTCTGCTGCCTCCACTGATATGTTTGAGATGCTCTGGACTTCCCCCATAATGTTGTTTGAGATGCTCAGGGCTTGTCCCTCTCACTTTCTGGAGATGTTCTGTGCTTCCACTCAATGTGTGTTTTTGAAGATGCTCTGGGCTGCCACTGCTGTGCTTTTGATGCTCTGGACTACTACTAGGCCTATGTTTTTGAAAATGTTCAGGGCTACTACTTAAAATGTGTTTTGGAAGAGTTTCTGGACTACTACTGGTGTGCTTTTGCTTTTCAGGACTACCTTTGCCAACATTTTTATGATGTTCTGGACTTGGTCCTTTCATATGCTTCTGGTGATCGGGACTTCCAGAACTCTTAGGTTTTTGGAGATGCTCTGGGCTAACACTCCTATGTTTTTGATGCTCAGGGCTTCCCTCACCCCTACTTTTTTGGAGATGTTCAGGACTAGTATTTGGATGGTGTTTATGATGGTCTGGACTATCTGTACTTCCAGTGCTAGAGGTGCTACTCCCATCACCGACATCTCGTATGTAAGCACTTGTTGCATTTAGTTGGCAGAGGCTGATTTGGCTGTCAATAGAACTCCTGCTGCCTGCTCCACCACTTTTCTCTTCATCCAGCAAAACACACAGTTCTTTCAGTTCCATATTTTCCTTAACCACTTCTTCTTGTCTCACTTCCAATTCTTTCAGTTTCTGTAAATATAAGGCAACCTCTTTGTGCATAACTCCAGCACTGTACCTGCCCAATCTCTGCCACTCTCGTGATACCTTCTTGCCTTTCTGCCTATCATCATCCAGAAAACAGCAAAGGTCTCTCAGTTCTTGGTTATCTTCTTGCAACTTCTGATTGATATCCTTTAAAAGAAAGAAAAAAATTGAAGAGAGAAATGGCTAAAAAATTAACATTCCTTTTAATGTAACATTATATAAACCAATTAACAAAGCTATTGTAGACATGTCATCAAACTTCCCCTTGCTCTATTCAGCACACACCAAACAATTCTGCATGTATGATTAGTCTACTATGGCTGCATAATATTTCTGTAAAACCGAGATTAGTGAATGGGCCACATGAGTGGGCCCATCTCAGCAGGCAGCAAGATGGTTGTAACCAAGACGGTCTCCCGGGATAGAGTAGTTTTGCTAACTGTGCTCACATACCTAGAATTTGCAGGATGTGCTAAGTGAAACATAGCAATGCTTTGAATACAGAGGGAGTGTATGGTTCTCATAGTCATTGTTGTGTGCAGCATGCACTTCATATGCCCTTGCTTTGAATGAATGTCACTATAGTAATACTAGTAGGACAGAAACCAGCAGAATCTTTGGCAATAGTAAACACACCTTGTACTGAGGTTGCCCACCACCGCTATAAAACAGAGAAAGAGAGAGAGAGATTCTCTCAAAAGATTTCCGCTATTACAAAATGTACTCTTGTGTGTATTGCTGAATAAACGCAGAATGTACAGAGGACTAATAATTAGATATGTGTAGTAGGGATGTAAGCAGCTACTCACATTCCACCCTCCCTTGCTACCTCAGTATCAGAGGCAGCAAGTGGGGGGAGGAGAAAGGGAGCAGAAGTCAGTGCTGGTGGAAGCCAGTTCAAAAGCCTGCCCCCCTGTCTACAGGAGGGGAGGAGGTCCAAATCCACACTGAGACACACACACACACACACACATACCCATGGACAGGGGCTGCTACCAGCTGAGCAGGCTGGGACCAAACCCCACAAAAAAAAAGGAGGTGGGGCGGGGGGGGGGGGAGAAGGAGCAGGAGGCAGGCTGCCTGGCTCCTACTGCCTTTTGAATTGAAGAGCCACAGCAGGGTTTGGTCCCGGTGTGAGCCGGAACTGAGTCAGCTGCCTTCCCCTATCAACTAATCAAGTAGTAGATAAAAATTATATTGACCACTCAATTAGTAAATTAACCTAATCTTAAAATCCCTAATATGTATGATAATACTTTCAAGAAAGAAAGAAAGAAAGAAAGAAAGAAAGAAAGAAAGAAAGAAAGAAAGAAAGAAAGAAAGAAAGAAAGAAAGAAAGAAAGAAAGAAAAAGATCAAACTTCAGAGCCCAAAAGAGTTTATGGCTTCTCTCGGTTTGGTTCCAGTTTTGCATAACAGACTCTGCTCAGGTTTGATTTAGTCCAAACTGGTTCAGCCATTCTAAAATTATATACTTTCTTATAAAAAAACTATTAATAATGATAACTACTTAAAGTAAGGATGTGAAAGATTAACAGGTAATGCTTACCAGTTACATTTAACTGTAGGAGCTGGACAGGGCAGGTGGCCAGAGTAACCTCTGGCCATGGTGGATTCAGCCCAACCATGCAGTCTAGACATAGCCCAGGAGTGAGTGCAGCAGGGACTGCCGGCTGCAGAGCCTGCAGCAAAGCCTTCCCAGGAATGATACTGGCTGGCCCTGCTCCTGGGAAGGTTGCTCTTCCTGCTGCAGAGAGTAGTAGACTAGCTCCCAGGGAGGCTTCACTGTGGGTTCTGCAGTATAAAGCTTCTTTAAGCTGTATACTGCAAAACCCACAACACGTGTAACCATTAACTGCTAAGATTTTCAGCAGTTACACAGATACCTTTTTAACCAACTTTTTACATCTCTAATTCATAGATTCTCACTTCAAATAAGACTAAGAAGAACATAATCCATGCCCTTTTCTAACTACTGCACGTTCTTGCTCTGAAGTAAAAACATTAAGGATATTGCTGTAGCAGAATATGATGCAAAAGAAAACTTTTTTACCGTTCTTTTTTATTGTTCCTAGTTTTAATAATGAAGACTGTGATCATATTCATCATTCTCAGCTGTGGATATTCTTTTCCAGCTTTTGTGTTATTCTGTGTATTTGTGACACATGTTTATTTTGTAAATGCTCACAGTTTAAATATATTTTCTATATTTCTTTTCCTCTCTTTCTTATGAAGGAGAAAATATCCAATAACACACAGATGAATTACATATATGATGTTTTTGCCTTTTCATTTTTTCCTAGTAGCAAAAATGGATGTTGAGTCAACAAAGTTAATATAGGCTCCATTTTTCAAAGAAACCCATAGAAGCTAGATGCCTAAATCCCAATGAAATTCAGTGTGAGGGTCAGGCACCTAACTCCCTTAATATCTTATAGAAATCACAACCATGTAGCCTTCTGGAGCTGAGCCTGAGGTTTTAAAAGAGAGAATGGAGCTTCTTTAATGAATATCATTTACAATTTATACTTAAAATGTTTCAAAGCAGGCCTATGAATTATTAGAAGAAAATGCATTGCGAGTTCCAGTTCAAATATATATAAAACATGGGAAAATAAAGGTATTAATTATGCAGTTCAAATTCAAGATAGTAACTTACTACTCATTCCCTAACACATTCCAACATGTTTTCTTAATTAAACTTACCTACTATATAAAAACATACATTCTAACTACTCCCCTGCAATACCAAGGGGCAGCAAACAGAAAGAGTGACAGCCTTAATTGTGCATTTCCTTGCATTGTTGTTACAATTTAGATTCGTAGCTTTACTAAGATAATTGTATCATCACTTGGGATCTGACACCTTCTGAAGTGCACACTGATTCATTTACTGCCAACATACAAACAGGTCTATGTTTTACAGAACAGGACCTTTAGGGGGAGGAGAGGAAATGAAGTCATCCATCTGTGATTTTCAGTTTCATTCTACACCATTATCAATCACCAATCTCTGGCACATTAGAAAAGGTTTTCTTAACCAAAGTAGATAAAATGGGCTAACTGTATGCATCTGTGCTACTCTATCAGACAAGAACTTCCACAGATAGTATTTTACAAATCCATACCTCTCTGTGTGTGTCTCTTCCCGTTAACCCCAATCTCAGTTTCAACTCAGTTATGAACTCCCTGGGAAATTTCGTACCTCAGAGCAATAAAATGGAAAGTGTTTGTGAGCTTATGTAAACTATATATACTACAACTGAGATAACTTTTTGTTTCATATAACAATGTTGGCATCCTATATCATAGCTGTAGCTATGACTCAACCCCAGATCTCAAGGCAGGGTAAGCATCCATGAATGATGCTTCTCACCCAGAAAATGTTATAACTGGTGGGAATAAATAACTGAAGGCTGATCTGAAGTCAGTGTAAATACTCCATGAGAATGGCTGGATCAGGCCTTGAAACTGAAACAACATGTCAAAAAGGGGAAACTCTTTGAAAATATGCCTAACTCATAGATTCTGTTAAAATTATTAAAGGAGGAAACCAGAAAACTATTTGTCTTTAATCAGAAGACAGGTTCTCACTAAAGAAATCAAAGCATAATACTGGCGCAACCAAAATCAGGGAGGTTTCCAAAAATCTGTCCCAGGACTAAAAGGCACACATACTATGCAGTGCATACTGAAAATGATCAAGGCTTCCCAGAAGCCTGGTGAAATGCTTTGTTGATAAATTAAGAAATAATCTTAAATGAGCAACAGAGTGTGACACAACAGGCAGAGGCTCTTAAAAACAAAATTCTTTGAATCTACCCAGAATTGTAAGTTTTATCCTTTCAAGCACACTTCAAATGAGAACATCTGAACCTACTGAAATCTACAAAGTTTTGAGGGCAAAAATTCATGGAATCAAATGTACCCATCACCACAACGTTTCTGATGTATTCTGCACTATATATTCATGCTACACCCTGAATATAGTTTCCCACTTCTCTTTCCTGAATACTCCAGGGAGGAGATAAAAGTAGAGTGATTTTTTTTTAAAAGAATGAACTCCTATTGTTGGCTGAATCCAGCCATTTTTCCCCAGTAAGACAAACTCCTATTCACACCCGATGAGACTTAACCTAAATAATGACTAAGTAAAATCATGTTCGGAGGAAGGGGATTTGTCTCTGACCGATCCGCATGGAGCTAGGTCCCCTGAAATCTGTTTGAACGGACAGATCCCGAAACCCACGGAAGGCCCCTATGCTAGTCCCTGCGGGAGAGAGGAGCATTCATAGGTACCCCCTAACCTCGCGGGGAATCTGTGCTTCTCTTCTCCTGCCCCGATCCCGCAAAAAGCCACCAGCAGCCTCTTGCTCAAATCGGCGCATCCCAAGCGCAGAACCGCCCCGCAACCCGACCGCTCCCGGTGCGCCCCGCCCAGTCCCAAGCGGCCTGAGCCCGGCCGGGGCTGCCCGGCCCCTCACCTTGAGGCCGCGGATCTCGCCGAGGTGGAGCTGCAGCCGGCGGTTCACCTCCCGGATGAGGTTGCTGTGGTCCAGCATCGCGCTCATCTTTTCCGCCTCGGCCCTGCGCAGGCTGCGGATCAGCTCCTCCTTGCTCCACTTCAGCAGCTCCTCGTCCGACACCTTGGACAGGTCCTCAGCTGGAGCCGCCCCGCCGCCGTCCGCCGCCGCCGCCTTCGACATGGTGGCAGCCCCGTCCGACCTCCCTGCGCCGCAAGCCAGCCAAGCCGCTGCAGCGAGCGCCACGGACTGCAGGGGCCGGTCCTTCAACAGCGGGGGCTGCTCCGGGGGTCCGTCCGCCAGCCGGCCCGGGCTCAGCCCGCTACCCCGCAAGCCACGGCTCGGCTGCCGCGGGAGTCAGGGAGTGGGAGCCAGTTCAGTCCGGACAGCAGCGCCTCCAGCCCAGGGCTGCTCTCTCCCTGCCAGGTGCCGCTGCCGCCGCGCGGTTGCCAGGCGGGCGGTGGCCGGCCCCGGAGCGCGGGTGCTGACGGAGCTGGGGAGTTGGGCTGGAGTCTAGGGGGAGGGGGGACCCCGCCGCCAGCCTGGGGCTCGCCCCCTCAGCGAGTCAGCTGCAGCTGCCGCTGCTCCTCCTCCCCGCCGCTCCTGAGGCTGTGCCCAGCCCCCGAAGCCATGCTCCCTAATTAGGCACTGAGCCCTCCTCCGGCCGCGCGCCACAGCTGGGGCGCAAAGTCCCGAGCCATAGTGGAGGGGACGGGGCGCGCAGGAGGCTGGAGAGCAGGATCCCGGGGGAGAGGCCGGGAACCGGCGAGCGCCCCTTAAAAGCTTCCCGCGCCTGGCTGCGCGCCCCCTCTGCCCGCGCTGCAAGAAGGCTGAAGGGGGCAGGCAGAGGGCAGTGCCGCCGCGCTGCTCCTGGGCATGTCTCCTCGGCGCGTCCCCGCCGGGCGGCACGGAGGCGGCATGGGACTTGGGCGGGGAGGCGGCGGAGCGTGGGCGCGCCTGCGGCGGCCGCCGGAGGCTCCCCGGCCGCTCCTGCCCGCGGCGACTCTCCCGGCACCAGTGAGCTGGCCAGGAGCGGCGCGCGGCTTTTCACAGAGGCGCGTGCCATGTGCGAGCCCACCGGGAGGGAGGGAGCTGCCAGGCGCAGCAGCCGCAGTCCAAGCGTGGCTCACAGGCGCCACCTGCTGCAGGCACTGACTCCGCTGCCTGTGCAACTGCCCTCACCCAGTGGGCTCCTCAGTCAGCTCCGCTTTTCCCGCAGCCCTCTGGATTGCCCTGCGGGGGAGGGCAGCATTATGGGTGCTGGAACTAAGGACGCGGGGGATGCGGGAGACATGCCCCCCTGCTTTGAAGGGCTTTCCATTGTATGCAAGGTTTACAGTTTGGATCAATGGTTCTCAGCATCCCCACTATAAAATTGGTCCAGCATCCCCAGGGCAGCATTCCTCATTTGGGAGCTGCTGCGAGGCTGGGCACGAGCTATCAGTCAGGAGAGATGAGGCAGCAGATAGTAGACTATGACTCACCAACTCCACTTAACCTCTCTGCCACATCTCCCACCTCCCAACTTTGGGCAGATCTCTTTACCTGCCCCCAAAGAGTGGGGAGGAGGCATTCGCTCTGTTCCAAGCCTGGAAGGGGTCATTGTGATCTGAGTCTAGAACATCTGGTCAAGAACATTTAGAACTGCCTCTCAATAATTCCTAGAGCAGTGGTTCTCAACCAGTGGTGCATGTAACCTGGGGATATGCACAGGTCTTCCAGGGATACATCAACTCAGCAATGCATTTGCCTGCTTTTACAACAGGCTACGGAAAAAGGACTAGCGAATTCAGTGCAAACTAAAATTTAATACAATGACTGGTTTAAATTACCCTATGTACTAGGCATTGAAATGTAAATATGATATTTATATTCTAATTGCTTTATTTTATAATTATGTGTTTAAAATGAGGAAGTAGGCAAGTTTTCAAAAATATTACACTGTGACACTTTTGTAGTTTTATGTCTGATTTTATAAGCAAGTAGTTAGTAAAAGATATTAAACTTGAGTGTACATAAAACAAATTAGACTCCAGAAAGGGGGGTAGAGTAATCTGGAAAAGCTGAGAGTCACTATCCTTGATCACATCTTGTAGGAAAACTTTTAATGATCAGGGACGTAGACTCCTTCAGTAAATTGTTCCAACACTCACTTACTCTCTCCCTTAACATTTTATACCATATTTCAATGAACAAGACTATGTAAGTTCTAAAGATTCCTTATTAGTGTTTGTTGTTATTACTGCTTCCATTCTTGTTGTCCAGCTCAGCCCCCGACCAAGTAGAACTGTTCTCTATAGTGCATTACAAATTTCACAATCTTGATGCCTCATGAAAAATTTGATGGGAGGGTGAGATTTGAAACCAATGTTCAAACACATATATATATAAACCATTTTAAAGTGAAAATGTATTGCAAAAATGCATCCTTTCTGTTAGCATTCCTGTTTTCTCTAGTGAAGCAAATAAGTTTGTTTGAGCTTGCCAAGCAACAAAAAGTTGCATTTCCTACACTTTATCCTCACCTCTCATTTACAGACAGAATTTTCCTTTATGGGCCAAATTCAGATAAAGTATAATCGTCTACATCATAATTTTGCAGAAGTTTGTATATCCCTGCAATATATTGCTGACTGGGATTTTCAAATTCCAAGTGCCCAACATTGTGAAAGTGTTTGGTTGTTAGGGGTTTGCCTAAAGAAGTAAACAGCCTGTACTACAACTGACCTTCTTTGTGGATGACTTGAGAGTATTGCCTTATAGCCCATCAGTGTTCCTCCCCAAGTAAGGTGAATTGATTTATCTCAATTTTACCATTGGAAGAAGCTGATGAACCAAACCTATTTGGTAGATAAGCTACTAAATTCAGTGTAGTAGGTCATCTAGTCTCTCTAGAACAATCCTGCACAGGCAGAAAGAGGCACGCTTTACTAAGAGGCCTTTTACCTCCTCTGATTCTGTGATTCAATAACTGATTGGGAACATAAAAGCAGAGTTCTGCCCACTGTTTTTGAGGGCACTTTTAAAGTACTCAAGACCGTCTCTTCTCTTTGAAAATAATGGTGGATCATGAGGTTACAGTCTCAAACTGTCACAAACAAGGCTGGCTATGGCAAATGGTATTTGCTGCTAGATAACATGCATCCCCTCATAAGCCTGCAATCACTGTCATGCTGAAGTTTCTAAACATTTTTCTGCCCCAGATAATAGCCTATGCTGTCTATAAAAGGGAACCAGCCATTGCCACAAGAGCACACTACCCTAGAATTATTTTCTGCTCTTGGTAAAAAAAGTTGTCACAAGTACAGCTAAACCTGAAGCCTTTTTTTGTTTCTGTTTCTAATCTGAATCTAAGTCCTTCCCATGACAGCTGATCTCACTTGGCACAAACAAGATTCTGCTCTCCCTGTTTATTATGTTCATGTGCCTTCTGACTTAAGTACTATGCATTTTCTGTCTCTAAAAATCTCTAAGATTCATTTGGCCAGCCCCTTTTTACATGCTCCTCCAGCTGCCCACTGTGGCTTGCTTTACCCCATGGCAGACAATCTGACTTCATCTTTATTACATCTCTGATATTTCCTTCTTCTTTTGGGGATACCTCTGGACGTAAGGGGTTGCTGAACTCTCTGAAGAATCTTGGCTTTTATCATAAATTAATTCTACTTAATGCCTGATATTTTCCTGAGACATTTTCTTTCAAAGCATTTAAATGTCTGTTCAGACCTTTGGTGGATTTCCAGCTTTCACATGCAAATGTTAAGCTGGAAATAACATTTGAGTTAAAAATTCACGGTTTGGTCTTTAAATTGTAATTTTTCAATGACCATATTTCGATTAAGCTGGTGGGCATGCCTGCCAGCTAGTTAATTCCTGACATTATTTCCTTCTGGACATCCTCATTTGCTTGCACCTTACTGCCCAATGTGAATTGATGCAGGTGTTCTATTCCTTGCCTTTTTAACATAATGTGTGAGTTGGGAGTTGCTGGGGTTCTCAGCTTGTCTTTTTGTTTCTATAACTGATTGTTAACACCATCTTTTCTATGATGCTGGGCAGTCTTAGTTGATCTGTCATTTAGAACATTATGGTGACCATGGCAATCTAGATCTTGTGTACTTCTGCTCAGCTATGTGGTTTCTAATCTTAAAGAATTTCAGTGACAAGACTCTGCTTCTGCATGCCTCTGACACAGGGACACAAAGGTAGTGGGAAGGAACAGGAAGCAGACAGAACTGCAGTGCCACAAAGAGAGTTGGGGTTGGTGGCAGTTGTGGTTGCCTCTGACGGATGCTTGACAGTATGAGAGAAGTTAGCATTATCTCTTCAGCAGACTCCTGGTGCTTCCAGGGATGCACCTACATATTATCCCCAACACACTGCTATGCCTACAAGGCTCACCCAAACTCCAAATGTTTAGTGAGATGCATTCTGGATGGGGTTATATCCTGTAAATCTGAGCAGCATTTTGAATTCTCTGCAATTGGTCATACTGAAAGGAGTTTAAAAAGTGTAATATGAGAGCTAGTTAGAAAGTAACTATTCATAGAGGGAAAAAAATAAATGAAAACAATGTTTGTTTTATTCAAAATTTGCCTTAGATTTTTTGCTTTTATTTTTTAAAAAGGACAACCCCAAATAAAAATATTTTAATTTGGGGTGGGGGGTTGATGAATATCCAAAATGTGTAATGAAAATGGATTTTGTTCATGGAAATTTCTATTTAGTTGAAAAAACAAACCCACTTTCCATTGAAAAGTATTCTGGAAAAAAAATCTGACCAGCTCCAGTGGCAATATAACTAATGACCATCAAGAGTGTTTTTTCATTCCCAAATCAACTTTTTTTTTCCATTTTGATATAACTAAAAATGAATAGTGTCTGAGAAATGAAATAATAAATATTTTACTTGTTCTCAAAAATTGGTAGTGCATTAACTGAAATGTTAATTTCAGTTAGCATTTTATAACAACATATTTTTCAATAAAACAAAAATAAGTGTTTGAAAAAGTCTGGTTTGTGTCATGTCCACACATGAATAACCTCCTGCCTAGATCTGACATTTATAACATTCACCAGGACTGGCATTTCATACACCTTATGTTGAGACCTATAAAGAACATGATTCTGAAGTGTACTGCTAAGGGAGACATTGGAGTCTTCCATGGAGTTATCCGTATCTTTGATTGCATCAGGATGGATCACTGGAGCATAAAAAATATAACTAAAATATGATATGGCTTTTAAAGAAAGTTTAATAAAGACACATTTAAAACAGTTTAGCACAGACATATCTCTACTAATAAAAAGAAGAAATTATCAAGCAAAAAGAAAAAGTTATTCACCTTGTGCAGTAATGACAGTTCTTTGATGTGTGTCTCCATGAGTTCTCCACTATTGGTGTCGGGTCATCCCGGCACTGCAGATCAGCATTTTCCCTAGCAGTAGCCAGCCAGACCCTGCTTGCGCACCAGGCATCATGCCTTTCTCTTTGCACACGCAGTCCAGCTCCCACCAATTCCTCATGTCTGCACGAGTATCTGAAAGAAAGAGACTCTGAAGTGGGGAGGAGGATGGGTAGGGGTGTATCCATGGGAACACACATCTCGAAGAACCGTCATTACTGCACAAGATGAGTAACTTTCTTCTTTTTCGAATAATATCCCCGTGGATACTCCTCTGTTGATGACATTGTAGCAGTACTCAAGAACACAAGATAGGCAGGTCTCAGAGTCACCATTTAATAGCTGTTGATAGCATGGCCAAGGCTACTGATGTATCATTAGTTAGATGTTGAGAAACAGCATAATGTTTCATGAAGGTATCGTTTGTTGCTATGGCTCTTGTGGAATGAGCACTGTGTGCTCCCAGAAGTGGCTTGTTTCGGATGGTATAACATTGGGTAATGTAAGACACTATGAGTCTAGAAATGCATTGAGATGAAATTGGTTCACCGTTGGAGTGCTCCACAATGGAAACTAATAATTGTTGCAACCTGCAAAAAGACTGGGTTCTGTCTATGTAAAAAGCGAGTGTTCTGC